CCTTGAGGGCCTCCCGGATAACCGCCTGGTCCCGATGGACCTTGAGGGCCTCCTGGATAACCGCCTGGTCCTGGTGGTCTTTGAGGTCCTCCTGGATAACCACCTGGTCCTGATGGGCCTTGAGGCCCTCCTGGATAACCTCCTGGTCCCGATGGTCCTTGAGGGCCGCCTGGACCGCCTGGACCTCCTGGTCCTGGAGCAGGACCTCCGGGTAATCCTTGACCTCCCGGTGCTCCCATTATAGTATAGTCATAAAGATTTTCATTTAGATAGAAAAAGTTTGGTGCGGAATTACAATCAAACTGATTCCACCATACACAAACAAAGAATTGCTGATTGAAGATTGTTCCGTTTGGACAGAGAAAATCATAAGTTTTATTGTTGGCACATATATGGAAAACTTGGCACTGGGCTTCCACGTCGGCATAGTAACCAGGAAATTGTTGGGCATCACAACGGAAACTAGTTTCCGGTACTTCACTATATATAGGATAGTCGCGACCAGGTTCTCCTGGAATAGCTGAGTAGTCACCTTCGTCGTATGTTCCTTCATCACCATGGCCATAATCTTCTCCTGGTCCTCCAGGTCCTCCAGGGCCTACTGGGAATTGTCCTGGTCCTTGCGGACCCGGTCCACTCGGAACTCTTCCTGGTCCTTGTGGACCTGGCCCACCTGGATAGCCTCCTGGACCTTGTGGGCCTGGTTCACCGGGATAGCTACCCGGTCCTTGTGTACCTGGACCACTCGGATAACTTCCTGGTCTTTGTGCTCCTGGTCCGCTTGGATAACCTCCACCAGGTGCTCCACCTGGGCCTGGTTGACCTCCAGGACCTTGAGGGCCTCCCGGTCCCGGGTATCCGCTTGGTCCTTGAGGACCTGGACCACCGCTAGGTCTCTGACCACCTCCTGGATAGCCAGCGCCTGGTCCTCCACTAGGATATCCACTTCCCGGACCACCAGGTTTCTGACCTCCACTGGGATAACCTCCAGGAGCCTGACCAGGATATTCTCCACTCGGTCCGCTAGGTCGTCCACTGGGATAACCGGGGCCTCCTGGTCTTTCTTGTCCAGGTCCACCGCTCGGATATCCGGACGGTCCTTGTCCGGGAAATCCTGGTCCGCTAGGTCTGCCACTAGGATATCCAGCACTTGGTCCTGTTGGAAACCCTCCTGGTCGTGCACCTGGCCCGCTTGGTGCACCACCTGGACCGGACGGATATCCACCTGGACCCGTCCCTGGCCTGCTCGTTGGTTCACCTCCTGGAAATGGAATAGAAGGACGTCCGCTAGGATATCCACCAGACGGTCCCTGACCCGACGGAAATCCAGGTTGCTGTCCGCCTGGCTGACCGCCTGGACGTCCACCTGGAAATCCTGATGGTCCGGATGGATAACCACCAGGCCCACCAGGACCTCCTGGTCCTCCGGGACCAGATGGATATCCACCGGGACCTCCTGGAAATCCTCCTCCCGGTTTTGCACCGGGTCCTCCACCCGGACCACCTGGTATAAGCTGATTTGTCGGTCTGGGATAATTATATCCCTCGTCAGCCTGTAATATTAAATTTAATGTAATGACACCAGCGTATTTATTAAGTATTAAAATACAGATATAATTAATGAGCAAATTACTCATAAATAAATTCTCTTCCTCAGTTATGTAAGTTTCAATGAAATAATACGAATAGTTCTCTATTCTAAAAAATCTTCTATTTAAAAACAATTACTAAAACATTAGTAAAAATTTATTTTTATTACATTTCTTTTTTAATATGTGTCTTGTATATTTATATCAAAAATATTAAATAATATTCTTTAATTTCAATTTAAATAAGTCTATATATTATAAGAACTCTTATGTGATATTAAACTCGTGCGTTGGTATCACGATCTAAAACAGCATCTTCGTATTCTTGGTCATTGTAAATGTGGTATAAAGTTACAACAGTGCAGTCACGACCGATTAATATGAGAGCGCTTAAACTTGCGCAATCGAATCTGCTATTTTGCAAGACAAGAAAGAATGAATAACACGTTGATCTGTGAAACGTATTTAAATTAGTCGCATTAATTCTCATATAAACTTTAAGCTGTTGCTTTTTTTTTGACTAAAAATAGATAAAACAAAGTAATTTTAAAAAGTTACGTATTATTTAAGAAAGTACATATGTTATGTTAAGTCTCTTCCGTTTTGATTCAAATTGCATTCAACAGCGAATAATTACTCACCAAAGCTGTACGAGCGACAGCCAGCAAGACTGAAACAAAATACAAGAACAATATTATTTTTGAGCATACGCACTCTGACAAATTACGTACTCTTTGCTTTGTTGCTACAAACTACTGTTCGTTACGCGATCTCTTACGCGTTGCAAAGTTTTATTACTACATCAATTATGCCGAGTGTCAAAGGCTTTTACGCCGTCGGGTAACCGCCGCAATTCGTCGCGATGACGAGAGGTTGCGTGCAAACTCTCGCAGAATAGAGAAATGTGTCTTGAAAAATCTCTGACATAACTTCCCGTCTAATTAATTAAGGAGCATTGTCGAGCGCGCTCGGAGTGTAGGCGCGCTGCCGTTTCTTCGCACGCTTCGTCGCACGTAAATCGCATCAAAAAAGCGTAAATGAAGAGGGACGAGAAGGAAAAAGAAAGGGTCGCGCGCGCGCGCGCGCGTGCAAAAGAAGGAGAGATGAGCAGCGTGAACGGGAGAACGGTTTAGAAGTGCGTGCGGTGTTACGCGGGAATTGTGCGTTTTCGCAATGACACCGTCATGCTGGCTCGCGGATCACGCAAGCTACTTGTTAAAGCAGAAATACAGATGTCTGGTTCCTGGGTGTGCGAGAGAAGCCGGATTGCGATATGTTCAATCTCCAACATAAGTTTGATGGGAACCGACAGTTTTTAAATAATTTTTTGAAGTAATTAGTGCGTCAATAATATTAAAATTAACTGCAAAATAATAAAATTCTTATAAAACTCTCTCTCTGATGTTTTTAAAATTTTGAGAACCCTCGATTTACGTTTATAAAAAAAAAGTGTTGTAAACTATAAAATAAAATATTTTATGAAAATATTTCTCTCGTAACATACATTGACATTGACAATGTAATTACTAAAACTAATCTCGAATGAATGTAATATAAGGAAGTGAAACGAAAAGTGAAAATCTTGATTAGATTTATCTGTTATCTCGCGACGAACGTCATTCGTGACAAATAACTGTAATTATCAAATCATTTGAGCGTCTATGTTCAGAGGGATTTGACACTTGACGTTGACAAATTAAGATTTAATGGTGACTTTATATTTTTTGACGCTAGACAACTAATGGGCGTAACTTAAGCAAGTGCGATTGACATGCCGCTCTCCGTCTTCAAAGAATACCGCTGTCACGGATAATTCCGAACAATCACTTGTGTCACACCTGAGAACGTCTTTGTTTTCTCGCCCAATAAATCCATCAATCAACGTACTTTTGAATCTTACTCTGTGATTAAATTCACCGTGGTGACAGAAGTCTGTTACAACAAAAACTGAATTAAGATATTGAATTTTTTTTGAACATGTAATTAAAATTTTAACCATCGAAAAAGAAGAAATCTCCCGACCGGTCAGTTACAAAGAAGAAATAATAACTTCTTTGCGCAATGTTATCGATATATATCGTTTTTCTTTTATCTTTTCCCATTTTGTCATTAATTTCCACACCACGCATAATTTGACCAAAAGGCTATTTTCAAGCAACAATATATCGCTATTATCCATCACATCTTCCTGTTGCCGGTTGATAGCCTCGGTTTTGGTTACCTCGAGACAATGGGGCGGAGATCAAGATGCGGACTCTGAGCCTTGCGTGATCTACGAAGATAATCCGAGCACGGTATACTCGATGCATCGTTCGAGAGGATCTTTGACCGTTACGTGGTGGTTACACTAGCGTTGCACGATCGCTAGTATTGACGTAACCCGCGCGAAGAAGAAGCTGTGACGGAAATAGCTTTTCTTCTCGAATCGGTTTCTACGAGTCGCGAAATGTCGATTGTTCGCGCATTTGTTTCTGGAAAAAATCTAGCGTCACGCATCTATGAATTTGTTACGCGCAGAAAAAACTTCGCGATAAATAGAGTATGTCGAAGTCATCGTTTTATCTGTCTCTACCAGCGGTGTTCTCACGCGAGAGAGTTACTCTATATTCAATTATAATTAATTACAAAAGTTCTCATCACATGGTGTTGCGCGACATTTGCTTAATTTGACTTTAAAATTGAGAAAGTTTAACTCACGCGGGATTTCAAATTTGCTCGTCTTTCTTTTTTTTTCGAACTTGCTCTCTCCGTACGCTCGATCTTTCCGAGATGATTCGTTCGTTTTTTTAAGATTAGAGGAAAAAAAAAAGGAAGGCGAGAGCAATTGCGCTAACACGGCGCGTTGCATACACTTGACCTTTATTTTAAGTGTGGATGATCGTAAGCGTAAATGATGACCCCATAAAAGTGCGCTGAAACAATACCAGCCGCCGCCAGCGGCGGCCGCGGTGGCTTATCTCTAATTCGTTTTAATTAGAGGATGTTACGAAAAAATCTAGACCTTGCACGCGAAGATTCCATTGAAATTTAAAACTCGTCTGGATCTCGACTTCATGATGACCGAAATGATGAGAATCAGCAGTAATAAATTATTAGAGAGTTGTTACGCCGTAACAATTGTTTATTAAAACTATCGCTTTAGAAATATAAATAAACTATATATTTTGTTAAATAAATATTATTTTCGCGCAATTATTCTTGCATAGTTCTTTCTTTTTGCGTGTGTAAAGATAAATAACAATTGTATATAAAAAGTTTGCATTTACCGTTAAAATTATATCAGATATAGCGTAGAATATTTTAATTAATCTCAAATATTATTTCCAATATTAATTTCAAGATCGCAAAATATTTTTCCAGAAAGAAATACAACTTTTCTCTGTATATATATATATATATATTATTTTGTTATCTATATGAATTTAAAAATTACTTTAATAACATGTTGAAAATTTATATATTTATGTTATATTATCGCGTTCGCGCTACGCTGACCGATCACGCAATTTTCTTTGTTCTTTTTATACTTTTCTTTAATAGATGTGCACACTGGCATGCGGACAATATCCACACATTGTCCAAGAATGCCAGTACACTGATTGCGCGATGTGTGTAATGGCGCATATGAGTATTCATACGGCACGTTAATTCGACGAGCGGAAGGTAAAGTTGGCGTAGGATTGCTTAACAAAATTACTTGGAAACTTTTCATCTCCTTCGATTATCGGAACGAAGGTTATACTTGACGTTGGGACACGTCACAAATTGCGAACTTTCTTTTCTCTATTCTCGACACTGCAATCTCTCTGCTAATCTTTCTGTTTTCTCCGGAGAAAAACAAACAACGGACATTTTACCGCGCGATATTTCTCGTATCAGCATCTCTGTTTCTTCTTGCTTTGATTTGTTTCTTGCGCGCTTATTCGCGATCACATGCTAACAAGTCGATTAGTACATCGGGATGATTAAATTGCGAGATGAAACCGCGCGATAAGGTGAGAACTCGATATCTCAATCAATAGTCAGTTAGGTCTTACCGATCCAGAGCAAGCGTAGCCGCATGTTTGCTGGCGCGAGCACCCTCGAGGAGTGGGCGAGTCTGAAAAAAAAAAAAAAACAAGTGACATCTAATTGCTCTTTATAAATATTGTATGATATTCAAATTCGAGGCTGTTCGTGCAACCATTAATATTAGGTGTCGCGGATAAATTCAAAGATACGTGTGTTTAATTAACGACGACAATAGCTTTAGTTTTTTGCAAATTAAACTTAATTATTATTTAAGCTTAATGAGTGGCAAAAAACATAAATTTCATAAAACATTAGTCTCGCGAATACTTTGCGCACGTCGTGAATAAATGTAGAGATTAAATATAAAAGTGATAAAAATAATGTTTTAAAAAAAAGATGAAAACTCTCTTAAACTCATGTGTGTTGATGTAAAACTAACAAAGATTTGTATATCCACGCGAGTTTAATGTGCACACATATGCGTAAAACTACCGGAAAAAAATATCACAAGAATTTCGTCAGTCTACGGTTTCTCACGTCTTGTGTGAATGAATTCATGCGATACATCATAAACATCTTTATTTTTTAACTGATTATACATATGCGCCCAGCTACTGTAACTCACGTCCACCATTTTTGGTACATGATCCTCGAAGGGGTTGATGTATTAAACATGTTCGCAAGATACGGAAAATGGAACTTTTGCGATACGCTCGAATGGAAATCACTGACCGTGTTACTTTTAACACACTGCGATCGTTCGACCCTCCCCCGAGCACGAGGAACGAGGTACGAGGAGGAGAACCTTCGTCGGGTCATTCGTGCGTGTTATCGATGCCAGCGTCGAGATACACGCGCACAGATGCATGAGAAAGGAAAAATATGATACCCGAACTCTCTCGGCAAAGTTCCCCGGCGAAGCGAACACTCGGTCGGTCCGCGAAAAAAAAAAGGAGCCAATTTGCGTTGGCAGACGCTCAAGAACTCACAGACGCTCGGGAGCGGGGAGCAAATTACGCTTTTCGTGGGTCTTGTCTTTTAAGGGGGATGAAGTGGCGTGTGTCGTGGACTCACCCAACCGATCCGTTACAAAAACACACCGCAGTGCTAGAGGTAAGTCAGAGACAGTGACTGATGGTGGAAGAAACCTCGTCGGCATATATATCCTTGGATAGCACCCTGAGCGCTGATACGCCCCCACCAGGGATGACGCTCCGACGCTCATCCTTCAGACCTCCTCCAGATCGAGCCCCCTTTTTTTTCTCTCTTCTTCCCGAGATGCGAGGTGGGGAAAAACACGTGAAACACCGCGAATAGCGATGGGATTGATCCTTTCGCGCGGGGCGTTCGCGCTCCTGGAAACCGTGGGAGAGAGAGACGAAGACACTCCGCGCGCGGCTTCCACACTGACCTCTCCTCGTTCGTCAATTTTTGTGAGATATATATCGTGTAATTTATGCGATTATTATTATTTTTTTTTTTTATGTAACTCATTCGCGCGGTTTATGCAATCCTCTTTTATTTGTTTTTTTGAGAAACAAACGGAACGATACAAATTCGCGATACAATCTCTTTCTCTAATAATAATAATAATAATAATTAATAAAAGAATTTTTGTGAGGTCACACACACACACGGATTTTATATAAGCTATACATAATAATAATAATAATAATTTGCATACAATACGGACAAAAATAAGTGGCAAAGTACATTCAGGCAAGAACCAGTTAGCAAATACTTAATTTAAATATATGTAACGGGGGATATTTCATCAATCTTTTTTTATGAGAATTTATGAGAAAGTGTCAATCAGCTTTTGTAAGTAAGAGTGACGGGTGACCTGGACCTTTCCCGACCCGTCAATGATTAGTTAAAGTAAATATCGACAGGTTGGGTTCTAAATAACGGCCGATCTAGCGCGCGGACCCATCACTATCCATAAGCGGTGCGCGCTATCCGTGGAACGACCTCACGACGTAAGTGACCCCGCTGCGGGGCCGCGAAGGGGGCTTCTCTCCTCCACGAGGGATCCCTGACGGGGGATCTCTCGCGGAGATGAGCAGCTCGTGGGAGGCCGGGGTTGAGTGAAAGTGAAATACTGCAAGTAGAGTAACGTCTACCGGAGTGCCGTGTATTTTACGTTGCTCTAGCCGGCGATGAAGATCGCCGTGTAGAGGAGGAAGACCGAGGAAATCGTGAGGATGTCTCTTCGCGTCTCTCGATACATTTGTGTCTCGATAAAAAAAACCGATGCGCGCTCTGTGTTGCAGTTTTTTTTTTCCCTTTTACAAAACTGCTTGGAGCTTGGCCAAGAATCTCATCTAATTGGGGTCGAGAAATATAAATAAAAATTTATAAATAAAACAAACTAAAAATTAAAAATTATACTTTTCAATTTTTCTAAATTAAAAAATTATCTTTGTTCTCTCTCTCTCTCTCTTTTTCTGTAAAATGTTTTATTTAAATAAAAACACACACAAAACACTTTTCATAAGTTTCAAGTATAAATAAAAAAATATTTGAAGTTTCGTATTAAAAGTTTTATACAATCTGCTCACAGTTTTGTCGTTTGTCTTTTAGCATCGTCTTACTTTTTTATCTTCCAAGAGCTTAGGTAAAAAGTGCAAAGGGACAATTGTGTTTGTGTAACTAAACTGATTGTTTCTACCTCTGAACTTTTGCCTCAGAAAGAGATGTGATTCGTAATAAATAATGCATGATATCGGAAAAGCTGTGTTGAGAATAATACCCTTCGTCATAAAAGAGGTCGTCATAAATGTTCTTGCGACGCGTGAGTCTTTTGTTTTGCTTTCCATTTGAGATGTCGAGGCTACCCGGAATGATTAGAGGGATAGTAAAGTAGATCGGGCGCGCGCACGTATATAGAAGTATCGATTTTGTCATACTATGATACATAAAAGAAGGCGAGCCAAATTTAATGACAAGTTTAAGAACACTTCGTGCAGATGTATTTCAGCGTTTGCCAGATATGCTAAAACAATTGTCAAATAAAACAATTATCAAAAAACCAAAAAAAAATCTGCTCAAATATCACAGAAATGTCAAAGAAGAGCTGCTGTACAAATATAACTGAAATCATTTGAAATCTTTTTTATAAAATCACTCAACATAATATAATATAAATTATACTAACACAATAATATATATATTTAATATATTTTTTTCTTTTTTAAGTAGTTTATTACAAATAATATTTTTCTTTCTAGAATAAAATTTAAATATATCTTTTTTCTATTCTAGAAAGAAAAATATTATTTGTAATATAAAACTACTTTTCTTTTTCTCTTCTCTCTACTTCAATTGCCTTGTGAAAGTAATAATTTTGTTTTTCTCACGGATATATCTGTGAGCGATTCGATTACTCATCTCGCTAAATTTTCGGATCATTTACAAAGAATGAACCAATTTTCCGTGTAACCTTCCCGCTGAATATATGACGCGGCGCGCGTTTTTCGCACCGCGCGCCGTCAAAGAAACGGGGCGCGCGCGCGCGCGCGCGTCTTCGCTCGTCCCGTTTTGGATTCATAATCGGCTTGCATCATCACAACCGAGCGTGATCATCATCGTCATCATCGGACGTACGTAGTGACACGTCTTCGTGTCTTCGCACGTCCTCCTCTCTTCAGGCAGGGCTTTCACCGCCAAGTGCGAGTTAGTGCATCGCGTGGGCGGCATAAAGACAGACGGCGCGTAACTCAAGTCAGTTGAGACAAAAGCGGACGTGTGAGTATCGAAACGGAGAAGAGCGGCGATCCCGCGCACGTCACACAGGCCTACGTATGGTCCGATTTCTTTAGTTTCTCCCTGATGATGTGTGATGATGCCGCATTCGCGATTCGCTTCGTGTTGACACAAGAGTTAGCAATCAGAAAATCGACCGCGAGGCAAAGCCCCCGAGGCGCCAAGGATGGTATCGCTATTTACTAACGTACGAACGGACAAGATTTTAGTTTACAAAGTCCCCGGAGCTCTTTAGACAGGAGAGGAGCCCCCGAGGCGAGAATCTCCTTCGTGCGATTCCAACAGCACGCTCATCTCTCTCTCGGCGTCTTCTTGTGTACATTGCGCTCGTATGAAAACCAGTCTATTGCATTAAATGTTGCACTTTTTCTATCGCGAGTATTCCCTCGTAACTCTATGTAGTAGATTCCTTAACACGCACATCGAGGACTCTTACATAAATTAATTTATATCTACATGTTAGCTGCTTTGGCAATAATCATGTTTTCCATCAATCTCGCTACGCTCGAAATAATGAAGGCTCTCCTCGTTGTGCAACGACGCAGAAGGCTTGTTGTTCTGGTAGCGAGGCACATTGGAAATGCCGTTTAGAACAAATCAAAGAGAAATCTTAAAATTCAAACCGTTTGTTGTTGTATACAAGGGAGAGAGAGAGATAGATCTCATGTATCTTTTGCTTTCATAAGAAACAACCGTCGGCTTGAAGCTTGCGCGATATCTATCAATGATCCCAGCGATCACCGACGACGTTGTAGAAAGGCTCTTCTCGACACCGTAATCGTATTAACGTCTCCGCGAGATCCATCAGCGATTTAATGTGATTGCAATAATCAGCCACGCATTGCAAAATCGCGTCCGTTCCTCTAGAACTAATCGTTAATGAAGTCTAACATTTTGCTTTGTATAGGAGATCATCTATTTTATGAATGCTTTAAAAGGATTCCTTAAAATCCGTGACGGTCATAATAAAAACAGGTCTAACGCAATCAAAAAAAATCTATCGATTACAATTACAATAACTTGGCTTGGCGGCGGCGGCGGTGTCCAATGAATTCGTCACTCGTCGCTATGACGAATAAAACCTTATATTGTGGCGAATACATGAATGTATATGAATTAATTAATGAAATATGAATAAAACATGAATTTTTGCGGTAAGTAAAACGTTGTGCGATTTTCAGTTGGGGTATCGAGAGATCGCGCGCGCATTTATATATTTTAATTCACAGGATGGAAAACAGAAGCCGATGTCGCATCAGCAAATTTAAATGCCGCGCGAACCAAACAAAAGCAAATATTTTATATACGAAAGTGTTTTATTGGTTAGGTGCACAAGTGTATTATTGATTGTGCGCACAATAGTTTTCTTATGTAATTATTATGTTTTTTTGTTTTTGTTTTTAAGATTCATACAACATTCACTTAGAGAGAATAAAAAAATAAACTTTTCTCCCCGCGATACCTGTGTGTTAATATATGAAAGAAATATATATGAGAAAAAAGAAATCTATAAATAAATTAGCGCAGAATTTCTATGTAACGCGTCTCTTCCGAGACGCGAGAATAATTTCGCGATAATTACGTCAAATTTGTTCTCACGCGCGCGCGCGCAAGACTCCGATCGCGCTTTCCGCGCTCTGTGCTTGTGTTCCCTCGCAAAACACGCCCGGAATGTGCTTATTGTATATTATGTATAATACATCGACAATCGTCTCACGATCCGCCGAAGTTCCCAAGTGAGAAGAAAACGGTTAAAGTCATTTTGTCCCATTGATAAATAATAATTTCCGTTAATATAGGAAAGAAAGAAAAAAGAGAGAGATAATATACCATCCCCAGATGTTACAAAATCTCGATGTGATTTTACTGCAACAAAATCAATCAACGTTAATCCTTTGGAGAAAAATTGTAATTACGACATTATATCGTGAGAAAACGTTGTTGTTGGACGCGCGGCACAAACGTATTCGACTGTTAAAAATACTCTGTCCCACTAAACTTCATCAAAATCAGGACAAGAAACTAAAGCGGAAAGTTGAATCGGTAATCTCTTTCTTTTTAACAATCGCATTACGTCACTAGACTAGAGGAGCTTCGTAAAGAAAGACAAAGTTGTCCTTCTCTCGTCTCTCTCTCTGTGTGCGCACTCTATTCTTTACTCAATTCCCTCATGGTGTACCGATCATTATGACAATACTCCCCGGCTAGATTATTATCTGAAGTAATAATTGGCTGTTGATTGTGAACTTCTTCGTAATAACCAAGGAAGCATATTTGTAATTGGAGTGTGTGTGACAATTGGTGAGTTAATATTCAAGAAAAAATATTCTTCTGTCACGTATTACAATAAAAAAAAAAAAAATTTGCAGGAACGTAAAAAATACATAAAGACATAAAAAGCATGTAAAGGTCTATTTCTACCTTAACCACCAATCTTTATTGTCTCCGTTATGTAAAATTAATTAAGCTGCTAAAAACGTTATCATATAGATTTTTTTTTTTTTCACGTCTTAATTTTGCGAAGGCTGCACATTGCTTCAGAGCGCAGATAGTTAACAAACTGCCTTTAGCAACAACTCGCTAAATGTTTTTCTTAAGTTCTATTATGCGCATAGTGTAAACATCCTTCGCCGTTCTCTAATTAAAGATTTTTCGAACCACTTACCGATTGCAACAAGCACAACAAGTTCCTTGCGCAATTTCCTGCGCGCTAAAGAAGAACGAGAAGTTCAATCAAGGTCGCCGAGATTCATCCTTTTGATTGATTGACGTTATTCGTAATAGCGATATATACGTGCGAGAATTGATTCTTTATTATACGAATATATATCTATATGAGTGTATATCGCGATTTCACGCAATCGACCGTACGTGACATATACGTTTTCTATATAATGTTCCTCCCCCCCTCCCTCGTTGTCTGGGATATTGTCTCGTTCGAGATCTGTGAATAAAAGGATTCGGAGTCCGGGATCCGTGAGAATATAAGTCAGAGGGATGAGCTCGCGCGTCTCTCGCGCGAATCATGATTGACCTTCGCGCTAGCAATCGTGACGGTGGAATCGACTCTCGGAGTCGGATGATGTGGTGTGGACAGATATAGAGGAGGATCCTCGCGCGGATCGTCTCTACTCCCTTCCTTTCATGATCGATATACGAGAGAGGCGAGTTTGCCCCGTTTTACACACGGAATCCGGGAAATATCAAAAGAAACGTAAAGAAACACCACCGTGTGTCTGCGCGCTTGCGTAATCCGCTTCGTTCATCGCACGTTTATCGATGACGAAGAGGGGCCCTTTCTTCGTCCATAAATCGTGATATTATAAGCCGCAAGGCTCGCGTCTTGGATGTTAGCTCGCGCTTTGCATCCACACAGATGCAAAAGTCCACGAGGAGAGGATTAAGTAGATTGCGCGTGTTGAGGAAATCCATTTAGCGCGCGCTGAACAAGGAGAAATCCAAGACGAGAAGTCCGTTCGTTGCTGCTTGATATTAATTTTCACCGTTTTGCGTTGGTTGTTGCAAGAGTTTGAAACTGCGCGAGATACGATTTTTTTTTTCAAGTTTCATTTGTGTTCTTCGTATTTTTTAAATCTTAATTAACGTAACGTAATAGTAAAAACAAAAACAAAAAAAAAAACAAACAAACATTTCTTCTTTCAAAAGTTTGCTCTTTTGCGGAATAATAGCCGAGATTAACGCACAGTCTTAAACAACTACGTAAACTCGCTTCTCTTCAGTTTCTCTCGCAAGTTCTCGTTTTTTTTTTTTTTTTCAACGCAAGTGTACGTTTTGTATGCACATATATACAGTTATAGTATTACTTGAAACGCGATGGAGAACACGATTAAAGAGAACACGATTCGGTAAAGCACGATTCACGTCTGTTACTGTTAAAACCGGGACGGCAGGATCCTCAGGACGGCGGAATCCTTAATCCGTTAGTGAGATTTGTGGCTGTTCAATTCCATTTTGACCGCCGCTCTTTTCTCTTTTCTCTAATCTCGCGTAGTAATTCTTCTCTCCGAGAAAATTTATTTTCACGTCAGTCTCACACTTCTTTTTTCACTTGCTTTTTTAGTTCGGTGAACTTTGTTAACTTCAACAAAATGTAAATAAATATATTTAAAAAAAATGTGTGACAGTACATAAGATGACACGCAAATTATTTTTGTCGGGACAAAAAAGTTAAAACAAAATTTGTTTTCTGTATTATTTTGTGAAAAGTTTAATTTATCAATAAATACACATAATATAAAGCGATATAGTAATATATTTATTGTATTTTTTTTTTATATGGCATCAGAAATTATGCGGGTAAATAGACATCGGTCGGCTGTTTGAATCCGTTCTTCTTCGCTTTGTTTTCTCCGCCAAATTCGGCACCGGTAATTCCGTAATTCGGCTGAAAGTAGGAATTGCCGTGACGGAAGTTGTTGTCCGACGAACGTTTATCGGAAATTTCAGGAACACCGTAAACGGGAAGATCCGTTGTTGCGGATGACGGAACTTCGTCGGTGAAACTCGGATTTTGATTATGACGAACCGGAACGTTCTTGTCCCATCCTGGTTGCTGTCCGCTCTGTTGATTGTAGTTGTTGTTCCAAACCTGGTCGTTCGCGGGTTCTTGCTGATGGCCTCGGAAAAGCTTCTTTTCGTTAGCTAGTTGGTAGCGCCTTCGTTCACACAAGAACGGATCGTTAGTATAATGCGCTAAAAACTACACGCGAAATAGACGCGATCGCAAACGAACGGAGGCTGAGAAACTCCACAACTTTCTTATGAATATTAAGAGACAAATTTATGATGTATATCAGAGAAAGTAATGACGTAAAATTAGAATCGGCCAATAAATAATATATATCACGTTGTTTACATTCACTGAATTTACGTTCATACGCGTCCTTAGATAACGCTAATCGCACCGGTGAAAACTGAAAGCGCGCGCGGGGGTGTCAGAGTTCGATTGCCTTCCTCCTCTCTTATATATATATACACATATGTATATAGGAAAGTAACGGTGTGTGTGTGTCTATTATAATAAACGAGCTGCTGGAATTTATCGCTTGATTTTACTGTGAAATTATTCAGCGCAGGAATGTGAAAAGATTATTGCCTTATAATTTTTCGTTTACCTTACGCGCGCGAGATAAGAAGAAGAGACGTTTGTATACGATTGCGCAATAAGCTATGCGAATCGCATGCGGACACGCGCACACACACAGTGGGTATATGTTATTTTGAACAATTCGTTACGTAATGCGTAGTGCTCACCTATCAGCTTCCTCCATTACTTTTGCAACCGCCTCGTTAATAGAGTAGAAACTTTTCGCGCGAGAGCAATCCACGTTATTCCACCACTCGCAGACCAGTCTCTCCTGATTGAATAACGTCCCGTTCGGACAAAGGAACGAATCCTTACGATTGCCACGTTGACAGATGTGAAACGCCTGACAGCCGGCCTCAGGGTCGGCGTAATAGCCCGGATATTGATACTGCTCGCACTCGAATCCCGTATGCGGAACCTCCCGCAAGATCGGATAATCTTTTCCGGCTACGCCGGGAATTCCTTCGCCGTTGTCGTCGTCGTCGTTGTCGTTTGATTGATAACGCGGATCCTGACGACCATATTCCGGCTCGTAAGATAGCTGCTGGTCGGGACGCACGTTCGAATATCCTTCGTACGCCTGTGTATTTGTTAATATAGAGAATAAATGATTTGGAAAACACATTTCCCCTCGAATCCAACTTCAATCACGCGATACAACAAGTAAACCTTTGATTCGCTTTTTTAAATTAAGTTTCAAGACTGAACATAATATCAATTTTTTTTTTATTGTACATGATAAGCAAATTTTCACTCAATGAAACTTCTATTTCATATTTTTTTTTAGAATTTTGACTTTGATTTAATGAATAAAACTGACAAAGTTAACAATTTAGCATAATTTCTTCTCGTGCAAAAATTTAAACAAATCGTTGAAAATTATGCGTAAACGTAAATCTAAATAATTTGTGTGAAGCAATGTGATACGTACCATGCAGCTTGCAACAGAGATCACAAAAATCAATCCTAGTCCGAACGCCATGATCTCAGGATTCGTTTTGTTGTTTTCAGCTGATCGACTTGTTGCGAATTGTATCGAATCGAAAAATGATCTCGGTCTTTATATAGTTCGCAAAAATGAGTTCAAGTACACGAGATTCATCCGAACGGGCGCATCCTTCGCTTGAGTAGATCCGCACGCATCGGCGAAAGTGATCTGTATTTCGGCAATTAAGGATGACGCAACAAAGGCAAATATTCATCTTCTTTAAATGTGTGGTCGACCGATAATACAATTCTTGACCTAATATCTGGCCGGAGAGTTGAATAAAAAAAAAAAAAAAAACTCGCATCGACTTAATTAAAGTCCTGTCAAGTCGTCATAATGAACTTTTATGCCGTGTTATATATGGTCCAATTATATGTTTTAAAATATATATATATATATATATGTATTATATTATAGTAAGTATCTC